AGCTTCTCAAAGCTGCAACAGCACAGAAAGAACTGAAGGGGCAAAGATGCTGGGAGAAGGTTTGGAAGTTGTCGCATCTTCCCTCTGAAACTCTACCTTAGAAATCCAAGCTAAGAAAAAGCACTAATTGTCTGATAACAGGAATCGCATGGCATGTCTTTGCTCTGTGGGCTTTTCTTTGGAGAGCTGTCTTTGGGGCTGTCAGTAGACAACATATAATTCACAAAACCCCCAAGTTTTTAAACATTTTCAACCAGTTCATAAAAAGAACACAAGCTTTCACAAAATTTGTTGTAAATTAGACATAACGTTGCATGATCTGTCTCAGTTTTTTAATTTACTTGTTAACTGAGAAATCAAAGAATTACTACAACAGTGCAAAAGCAAATGCTCAGCCTCAGATCTCTACTACTGCAGTGACTAGTGAATAAATCCACTGCAGGCAAGGCCACAAAAATGTAGTCTACCATTGCTCTTCATGAGCCTGTGGAGTTTATTGCTGATAATAGGAATACAGGAACTCCAAGGTCAAACCACCAGCAACTTCAGCATATTGGGTAAAATAATAGCATTTAAATTGTAGATGAAGAAGGATTTGGGTAAGACAATTCCTCATTTCTTCTACAGCAAGGCTTCCCGCAGAAGTTTGTGGGAAACATGGATACATCCAAGGTATGCAACTACATTCTTAATATATTAACTAAAAACTAATTTTTTTTTTTTTTGGAAAAATGAATAAAAAGTCACAGCTGTGAGTTCTAGGCATTCCACAGCTAAAAACCCAACCAGTTTCTTCCTTTAGAATTTCTTCATTCTTGCTATCAGAGGAGAGAAGCATAGAAAAACATTATTCAGTCTTGAAAATCTCTTTCTGTAGTAGAATTACAGCATGAGGATAATAAAGAAAACAACTGAAGAGGAAATAAATTGTAAACCTGGACTATGACCCCACTCTTAACAAATGTCTGGGTAAAATCAGCACAGGAGGTGGACTAGCCAGCTGGAGGAGTGTTTGTAGTTATGAGTAAGATAAATATGAGGCATTATGCATCCCAGTCTCTCACCAGATGGATTAAAGAGAATGGTGTATATAACATCCATACTGTCAATCAAAAGCTGTACAGAATTGCATCTAAGTACATGAGACATACAGCTTGGAATGACCCACAGCAGCCCTTAAATTTGAATACACTCAAAACTGTAACAGTCTTTCAGCATACTTGGCTTTTCTGTATTCATGGTGATGTGATGTCCATATGTCACTGAGGACACCACCCAGTCCCAGCTACATTTGCCATAAGATCTTATCTGAGCTTTGACAAAGGTCAAAAAGATATGAGGGAAATACTTTGTACATCAATAGTCTGTCCTCAGAGCCTGGGAGAGTCCAGTAGCTGGGGCTGGGACAGGAAAACCTGTGTGAGGAAACCCATAAGACCTAGCTTTTCCTTCAGCATCTTCCCCTCTCTGCTCTCAGGTGCCTCACATACAGCCAGCCCCCAGGTCTGACAGAGGAGCCTGGCAATAGGAAAGGGAATGAATGTATCCCATGCCAAAGCTGTGTGATGGGTGCAATGGTGGCTTTTACTTTTGTACATACATAGCCCCACTTTCACCTTCTCACTGACATGCATTGCATATCCATGCATTTCACAAGGAAGGAGCGGCTGAATCTCTGGCAAGAGGAGCAGGGTCTGCCCCCTCAGTACATCCCACTGGATGTACCCCTTTACTGCACAGTTGTTGGAGCTGGAGGGCTTTTTGGAGTTCTCCAAAGAACACCTTGTGCTAATGTGATCCTTCACTGCAATGAGGATTTGGTTCACATGAAAGGAGACGTTTTTCAGCTCATTCTCCTTTGCACTCTCTTGAAGGAAAGAAACTTGGTGCACAGTTTATCAGCCTCCCTCCAGCCCTCAATGGAACTGCACAACACCAAGCAACAACCACATCGTGTTGCATATGTTAAGAGCAATTTGATGCAGGAACAGCCTTCAGTACTTCTTGCTTGACATCAATGTGTCATCATATATATTTTATAAATTATTATATATGTATATATGTAAATGCATAAACACAAGTTTAGTAGCAACAGCAGACACTTGAGCAGACCTGTTTTTTACTAGGCTAGTGTAAATCCCATCCTACCTATAAATTTGTACCATCCCTCTCCCTCCTGGCTCAATTTAAGGAAGGGTCAGTACTTGTCACAAGCTTTTCAAGCTCCAGGTATCCAAACTACACTTAGAATATGGAAGCAACCACACAAATCACAAGAGCAAGGACTCATGACCTCAGGTCATAACTGTCTAATTAGTTCAGTAATTGATACACAAAACTGATCAAGACAAACCTATCTACAATTCTAAATTACTAGATACATCAAAATGCTAAATTTGAAAGGTATCAGCACTGTTTACATCCTCCTGAAACAACCAAAACTGAGTTGCCTGATATTCCTATCATTTTCCACAGGAAAATATGTAATTTCACCTTTTTGCACAGCCTGGACTTTGCATGACTCAGGAGATGAGTAGTGAAGGAAACACCTTCCCAAAGTACACAGAAAGGAGTGCCTTCCATTGTGATACCACAGTTCCTAGAAACATCCTGCTCTAGAGGACAGGATGATACAATGTTCAAAGACTGGTTCCACCCCAATTACCAGAGCCTCCAAGATGAAGCATTTATTCCAGGAGTAGAATTGTGGCTAATGTTTGACAATGGGTCACTCCTCCCAGATAGATGGCGAGAACTGGAAAATATGGGTGGGAATGGAACGGAAGAGCCTCTTTCAGAGCAGCTGAGTGTGCAAGCCACTCAGTTTTTCCCTGGGGAAAATACTTGACTCAATCTAAGTGCTGCTTTCCAGCTCAGCTTGGATGCCACTTGCCTGCTGAAAATAATGTGTAGCTTAACCCCTCACATAAAAGCTGGCAATAGTTTAAAAACTCCGTGTATAAATGAGTATAGTTGAACAGAGGGGTCTGGCTAGACTTCAGTGGCACTGGCCATGTTAGTGAGTGGAGGAAGGGAAAGTGCAGGAGTGTTGTGAACACCTGGCAACAACCTGATGGAAGCATCAGCCTTTGAACCACTTGCTGTGAATCAGGATGGCAGGGTGCTGGATGAAATGCAACTTAAAACTTTTCCTCTTTACTGCAAGCCAGGATTCACAACTGCAAAAAAAGCCATATTCTAGTCAGATAGAGAAGGGGAAGAAATCCAACTAAGATATATATTCCAACTACAGCAAACATTTTCCCTGTGCCTCTTACCAAGCCACTGTAAGTGGGAGCAAAATTGCAGATGTTCTCTACCAAATGGGAATGTCGTGAAAGCCTATTTAATGTATCAGGTGACATATGGAGAATTTTCAGGTTCTGAATCTTTGCCACGGAGTCAATAACTGTCTGTTGGAAGCCATGAAAACTGCTTACAGTGGCCCAACTGATATCCTATTGAATACCACACATAGGCTGTGCTCTCAGGACTTTTTTTCTCTGCCTGCTCTTCAGTTGCATAATAGCTCCCTTCTTGAGATGAAAAGTTAAATTTATGAGCATGTGCCTTTCAAAATGCTATCTTCAGGGGCCATACGTATGTTGCTGTTACAGAGACAGGACCAGAGGCTCCTCTCTCATTCGGGGACCAACCAACAAACCAGTGGCAACACCTTGGACATTGTCTACTCTGTGCAGAGGAACAGCAGGGTCAGACATGTCAACGCCCAGACACGGCTGGCAACGCTGCACTGCCAGCTCCCAGTGCCTGGCAAAGACAGCTGCTCTGCCTGAGCAGTGGGGGCTGCATCAAACAGCATCTGTTGCTCTAGCAAAAACACTAAGGGGAATCATGATGACACATGAAGAACAAAAACAGCACAACTTCCAGAAACTGTCTGGTAAATCATCAGCTGCAGGCTCGTATGCCAACAGCATGGAACACACTGTGATTCATGGGGATCTTCCCGTCCACCAGGAACAACCACTGTCACTGTCCAGGTTGTTCTGCTAGATCTGTGCTTCATACCAAGAACCTGTTGACTTCATGTTGCATTATATGCCAACTTGAGAAGTCACTCAAAAATTTGTCTTAATAAATACCTGAATAAAACCTTTTACAAAGTAAATTAGTGTCATTTCCTCAGAAATGAGTCTGCTCAGCACTGCAGCCACTGGAATTCCTAGGACTGGCCCTCACAAAAAAATCATCCTCTGGTCTTCCTAATATATTAAAGAGTGCACATGATTCGTAGTAGTGACAATAATTTCTTGCCATCCTTTATTGAATAAGCTTAAGTATATGCAATATGAAATATTTTCCTATGAAAGTAGAAAAATATGAGAGTTTTTGTAAAACATGGCATATGCCATAATTTCCAAATACAATCTATGGAATATACTGTAAGTTTTTGATTCATCTTCATCATATAACTTAATATGTGGTGAAGAGGGCTATTGAATATGAGAGCATTTCTTATTCAGTCTTTCCTGCAGTCTTCTATCACGTAGAGCATGAAATCACAAAATAAATATAAAATCAACCTTTTAACCCCAAAACCAGAGAAGAAACGCATGCCCTGAGGCACAGTTCAACTACCTAACATCAATAAATAAGTGTTTCTCATCTTCCTGCAACCCAAGAACTTTCTTGGGTTTGTGGATGTGTATCTTTATTGGTCTAAAATGGCTCATCTTTGTATTAGCTAGTTTCTCTACTGTTTCAATTACAGAACTGTCTCATAACATGTAAAATCTTGGACTATGAATATTTTATTCATATCACCTGACTCATTATGCATTTTTATGTAGGCCCTTGCAAAAGAAGTGTTTTCTAGTATGAAGAAAGATCATGTGTTGTAAAAATGATGATCTAGAACTAAGACAGGTATGTATCCATGACCTGAGCCCAGATTATAGAGTGTGTCAGCACCGTAGTAAAATATTAACAAATTTGGTGGGTTGTCATAGTAAAATGAGAGGCTGTCCTGAACGCAACTTCATTTACAGACGTTCAGAAAATTAACATCACAGCTACAAGGACATATAAAAAAACTGCATAGTGCATTTTTGACTGACTGCAGGAACACTGAGAGGAGCATTCTACAGGCTCAATTCCTATAACAGCACAACAGAAACTGGATTTTGCAAAGTAGACGGAGAAGCTTCTTTTTTATAAATCAGTTCTGAGAACATCTGAGAGATTTTATTTTATCTTCAATTGTGTTTGCAATACCTTTAAAGAAGCATGTGCACAGGAGGCTGTGCCAAGTGCCTGGGAAGTACTCTCATCCCCCTGGCTGTGCTCTGCACCCTTGCTAACATTTTGTTGTTTTTCCCTGGAGGAAAAGTGGTGGAAGACAGAACATACATTACAGATGAAGTTTGGTGCTTTGGAGGGATCTTGGGATCAGGTGTATTGGTAAGTGTCTAAATTCAAACATTTCTACCTTCCCCCCACCCACATGACTTGCATTGTTGAATTTTCTCAGGACTACAAATTCCTCTTTGATAAACAAGTTATGAGCCATCCAAAGGTTTGGCAATAAGTAACTTAACCTAATGATAAGGAAAAAAAAAACACATCGAATTTTTATATTTAAAAGAAGATGTAAGTTGAATTCATCCCAATTCAAACTATATTTCGATCATTCATAGATGATCTTCCCTGCTTTGGTATTTTTGGGCCTTCAGAATAATGATTGCTGTGGATGCTGTGGTAATCGGAGCTGTGGAAAGAGGTTTGCGGTAAGTGAAAGGAAACATGGCAAAAAAAGTAAAAGCTAAATTGTTACCGATATATGTATTTTCCTCTCACAGTCATTGTACGTCTAGATAGAGGCTGTCTTGAGTGTGGGACAAATAGCCCTGCCATTTGTTTGAGTGCTGGGAAGTAGCAATAGCAGGCTGTAAAAATTGTATTATGTCTCTGATGTTTTACCACAGGTAGCACAACAGTAAAGCCTTATTGGTTTTTGCTATCACAAGATACTCATAGCTACTATCACAATTAAAATTTACTCTTTGTTTTGCAGAGTACAACAGTCCTCTCGTTAGCCATTTTTTTTGGCAGCTTTTAAAATCACACTGGGCAGTTAGACACTACATTCCCAACTCACTGTGGGCCCACAAAATGAGCTGTATCTCATTAGATACAGAGGAAATTTCAGAAAGAAATAGACCTTGGGAGATCACCTAATCCAACCTCCTACTTTAAGCAGTGTGGGTGAGGCTCCACTGAACTTATACCTTACTTTCACACCAGAAAAGTTTCCAAAGAATAGTTTCAGACAGTAGTAAATATCTCAAGCATTTTAATTTAAAAATTAAATCAGAAAAAATATTTCTAGTTGGAAAATATGTCTTTTTTGAAATTAATTCTCTGGATTAAGTAGATCATTACAGTTTTAAAATAAAGGAACGAATTTTCCACTGGGAAAGAAAAAAAAAAAGAGAGAAAAACAAATAAGAAAAGATTCATGCCCATGAGGCTGACAAAGAACTTTCCCTAAATTCTCTCTGATGCTGTCTTCATACAATACCAACAAAAGGTTGAACTTTGAGAAGGAGGAAATGGAGCCATCTCTTTGTCCTTAAAATACTGTGTGATCCATTTTCTGCAAGCAGTGAAGAGAAGCTAGTTGAGTTTTGCAGAGCACATACCACCCCACGAGCACCAAGCACTGCAGTGTTGCTGCTGCTCAGCCGGGGTGACCACGGCCAGCGCTGGCTGAGTGGGAGCCAGCCTGCAGGTGTGTGGTGCTGCCTGCAAACCAACCTGCCTTCTCTGCTGACAGCGTATCAGAGTGCAGCTGGTTGGGAATATTAACACAGCCAAGAGTACCAAGTACACTGTACTGCAAGAGTCCTATGGGCCTTATCAGCATATCTGAGAACCAAGTTTGGTATTTTAGCTGAAATCCATTCTTAAAATATCTGCTACAAAAGCAGAATTTTTAAGTTAGCCCTGACAGATATGTCAACATAAAAATGCATGCTAGGACCCAAGACAAGAGTCTTGTGATGTGGTCTGAACAAAAATCACATTGTACTTGATGATATTGGAAGTCATTTCCCATACAAATGATTCTATGACATGAAAGTATTGGGGTTTTTTTCTTCACCTTATCACTTTATTAAAATAAAGGGCACAACCTTCACCTACAAACTGTTATGGCTACAAGCATTTCAGATTTCAAGCAGGCGTTAGTTCTTGCATGATGTACTTACATATTAGTATATATGGAAAATTCTGTAATAGAAAACCAGAAAAATAAAGACATATTTTCCCATCCATTTCAGAGCTTACACTGATAAGTGAGGAGAGCTTACCTGTGAGGAGATAAAATATACGAATATGAAATCTAAAGGGAGACTTGGGAAGGAAGACTATAATTATTTGGTCCACATATAACCAAGATACCAAAGCTAACTTGTAAAGGATACTGAAGATTTTTCTAATGCCTTAAGTGGTCCAAGACTTTGGTCTTGCTTGAAGTCTCCTGAGAAGAACGTCTGGCCAGAGGGGAGCAGGAGGCCCCACAGGGGAGCAGTGCCATCTGCTGCCAACCTCTGCCTTCTCCTCCTCATGCACACAGGGCCAATACTGCTAAAGCTTTAAAATACCAATACAAGTATGCATTACACATTTACTATGCAATGAAAACTAATAGACTTCAGCTGTTCAGGTGTTGACTATTTGACTATTAACAGCTGAATGTAGGGAAAGTTTCAGGGAACAGCTGAATTTAGGGAACCAAAATAACATTATTTTTCTCTTCATCAGATGTTTTCTTCTATAATATTTGCTGCCATTGGAGTTCTGGGAGCTGGATACTGCTTTATTTTGTCAGCAGTAGCCCTAAACAAAGGCCCTAAATGTAAAACTGGAGAAAACTGGAGCTACCCTTTCAAGGCTGGGTAAGACAAGGCAATCAGAAAAAAAAGATATACATGTTTTAAGTTTGTGAGATTATTCAAATTCCAAACCCATTGTATAAAAATGGGAATGATACTGTTTGTCTAAATTATACAACGTCTTAGAAGTGCTTGCAGCACACAGCAAGACTTCATAAGGTTCAAGAGCATGGATGTAAGGAATAGCGAGTACAACAAAAACTACTGACTTTCAAAGGGGCCAATAAAGAGAAATGCACAGCCTCTTCCTAGGTTATTCCTGGGATAATAAGCAACATACAGGGATAAATTCTTCCACTTCAATGAATAGCAATGACACACTCAGCTCAGGACACCTCTCAGAGTCCTGAAGGAATTGGCTGATGTAATTGCTAAGCCACTCTCCATATTTGAAAAGTCCTGGCAGTCAGGTGGAGCCCTAGGTATCTGGAAAAGAGGAAACAATACATACATCTTTAAAAACCATCGACCTGTCAGTCTCACATCTGTGCCTGGGAAGATCACAAAGCATTTCCTGCTAGAAGGTCTGATGATGCACATGGAAGACAGGGAAGTGATTTGGGTCAACCAGAATGCTTCACCAAGGGCAAGCTCTGCCTGACCAGCCCAGGGGCCTCCTATGATGGGGCAAGTCCATCAGTGGTAATGGAAGGACTACAGAAGTCATTTAACTGGACACAATCCCCCACAATATCCTGCTCTCTATATTGCAGAGAGATGGATTTGATGGGTGAACTCTTAGATGGAGAAGAAAGTATTTGGATGGTCGCATCCAGAGGGTGGTGGTCAGTGGCTCAGGATCTTTGGACAAGAACAGGATCAGTGACAAGAAGCATCCCTAGGAATCCCTGCTGGGGAATTCCTGCTGTGTTATTTCATATTTTCATTAATGACACAGATGGAGGAGGCTACCAAGATGATCAGAGTGATGGAACACTTCTTCTATGAGGAAAGGCTGTGAGAATTGGGATTCTTCAGCCTAGAGAAGAGAAGCTTCAGGGTGACCTGATTGTGGCTTTCCAGTACCTGATGGGAGCCTACAAAAAAGATGAAGAGGGATTTTTTATAAGAGCATGGAATGACAGGACAAGATAATGGCTTTAAATTAAGAGTAGGTTTAGATCAATTATTAGGAAAAAATTCTTCCCTATGAGGGTGGTGAGGCAGTGGCAGAGGCTGCCCAGAGAAGTTGTGGATGACCCATCCCTGGAAGCGTTTGAGGCCAGGTTGGACAGGACGTGGAACAACCTAGGATGGTGGAAGGGGTCCCTGACCATGGCAGGGGGACTGGAATGAGATGATCTTTTAGGCCCCTTCCAACCCAAACCATTCTATGATTATATTGAAATTTAGTGGTATTCAAATAATTACTACTTATAATATAATATATATAATATTAATAAATATAATCTATTTATTTTTTTTTGGCTGTGGCATTTGGAAACTTCTTGCTCCTTATGCTCTGCAACTCAAACGTAGTCAAAGTCATGTATATTTATCACTTAACCCCCGCTATCCCACTGCTCAGACTGAATTCAAGACAAGTTCAACAAACAACAGGGCACAATGAGCTACTGAGGAGAGCAGGTGTGATCAGAGCAGAATGACAAGGGCTGCAGTAAACTCCTCATTACCTCAGAACCTTTAATGCAGTCTGCCTCAGTCAGGAGTGACCTGGTGGCATTTCTTACATAATATACAAAAAAAAATTTACTTCAGGTTGAAAAGAAAAAAAAAAAAAAAGAAATAAAACAAGAGGTGTACAGGCAGAGGATTATTTGTTCATGGGCCAGTGAGGGCCAGAAACCAACTCCCTTGGTCTCATTCTGAGTCTTTGGAAATATGCCCTGTTGCAAACATAGTTTTGGTTTCAGTCCAGAAATCACTTGACAACAACACAAACAAGTCAGCACTAAGCATATGCAGATGAAATATAGCCAGTGGTCAAGCAGTTTACAATTAAAATACGAAGGTAAAAATTATGGAAGTTATTATCTTTACTTTAGATGAGGGATCTAGAACAGCAAAAACTGTTATTTTCAGCTCAGTAGGCAAGAGGTGACTTGCACAATTTCATTATTTGTTTTGATAATTCAGTTGTTTTGATTACAATGTACTCCCTTGTTCTCAACTGTACTTTGAGATACTGGATTACATGCCCTGATCACAGTCCCCCACCTACTCCCCCATACAAAAAATGCTGCAATCAAGTAAAAGCAGCAAAAATGCCCTGACGAAACACTGGAACAGATAAAACCCATTTGGCACATGCTTGGCTAAGATATTTTCTTCCCAAAACTCTAAAAATGGTTCAATTGTATCAAACACATACTTGTCTCCAATTGCTCCCTTCTGATGTCTTGTTTTTTCCAAATCACTTCCTTCAACTTATCTAGAAACTAAATTGAAGTCAATTTCTAGATAAGTAGCACCAGTGTGACAATAGAAATTTACTGAAGTGAACAGAACCTCGTCCATGTCACAGCAGTGACAGTCTCTCAGCGGTGAGACACTCCTTGGTGAGTTGATAGTCTTCTTCCTAACTATTTTATTCTCATGTAGGGATTACCTTGCTGACCACACATTGTGGGAAAGGTGTACATCACCTGACAATATTGTCCCGTGGCACCTGACCCTCTTCTCCTTGCTGCTGGTCATGAGTGGGATCCAGGCAGTGCTCTGTGGCATTCAGGCGGTGAACGGCCTCTTTGGAACCATCTGCGGGGACTGCAAATGCTGCGGCTGTTGTGGGGTGAGCAGCTGACGGCTCTCCTTTGTTATTTTGTGTACTGATGGCTTACATACACACCTCTAGCTGACAGTCAGAAAAACTAAACTGGCCTTCCTCCAGCTCCATGATCATGCTTTCTAGCATACTGCCAAAACCATACACTATTGCCATTAGGAAATAATACAAGTCTTCGAAAAGCACAGCAATAGCAGCCAGGAAATTACCTCCATGTTTTTATTCTTTCAGGGAGATGGAACTGTCTAACAAATAGGAATATTGCAGACAACTCTCCTCATCCTGGGAGAATCCCTTCTGCAGCCGCTCCACAAAGCAGCCCTCAGATACACTGGCTCCAGCTAAGAAGATGAGAAAGGAGGGCTCCTCCTCCCACAAGTGTTATGAAGCCCTGACTCCCTTTCCAGCTTCTTTAAATCCCTCATCATGGAATAAAATAAGTGAAATACAACTCCCACATTCATATTTATTTTTGTAAAACAGCTTCCATTTAGAAAGAGGGTATTCTCAGGCAAAATACAAATTTAGGTTACAATTTTTATTCAGGTCAGTTAGGTAGCTTGTAAATCCTCAAAGCTTCCTACCTATATATGAGCACAAATGCTGTTTATTGATTTTTTGGTAGAAGTTCAATTTAGCTGTATTTGGCACAGTGCTATAAAAGAAAGAGGAAAGACAATAGAGAGCTAGCTCAAAGGCAAAAATACCTTTTAGAAAGAACTTTTTAAACTTTAAAAGAAAAAACTACTTCCTTAAGGAATCAAGGAGAATATAGGAGGGATTGGAGACATTTGAGGGATTCAAATAAACTAATATGCTTCTTTAAAAAAAATTCTGAATCAAATTTTCACAAACCAGCTTGCCAGGATGGATGTCTCAACGCTTCTCAATGTTAGCCATATCTGTTCCCTAAAATTTTCCTCCTGAAATAATGATTCCATGGCCTGTGCTTTCAGAAAATGTATTTAATGTACTGTGTATTTACACTAGGAGATATCTGAAGAATCTAAAAGTACTTGAAAGCATTCAAAGCTCTTGAGCAATATGCAGAAATGTTAAACAGTTTGATATAGGCACTGAGAATTATGTTGTACAAATTGATAAATTGCAAAAAAAAAAAAACCCTCTTCAGAGGCAGCTGTCTGTCCCACCTGTTCTGCTGCATTGCCCAGGAACTTGAGAGCAACCTTTATTTCAACACACACTGTGCAATCATCTCCCATCTATTCTTTCATCTATGGTGAGCAGCTGTCCTGCACCTCATCTCACATTTGTCCTGTTTGATTCTTATGAAACCTTTGGGAACAAGGAATGTTTCTCATCAGTGCTCAATAAAGTGATGGGTAGCTGCATAGCATACAGCTTTGATATATCAAAGAACAGAGTACATAAATCTTTGTGGGAGATGGGATAAGAAACAACAGGCAGCAAGCTATGACACCTAAAACCACAAGCAATGAGCTACTGCTTCTAAGAGACACCCAGCTACCTGATGGCTTTCTAACATAATATATATAACTAATCTAGAATATTAGTTAAATATATTATAAATATTAGTTATATAGTTATATTATAATATATCAGCTAATATATAACTGATACTGACACAAGGCATGCACATTTTGTCTTATGATCCAGTCTGCATTCACACCTTGGCCTTCAGGTGTATTGAAAAGGGGTAAATGAGCCAGAACCAGCTGCCCAGCTGAACTCACACTTCAGAGTGCCTACAACGATGTTCCAAAATCTATTTAGTTAAAGCTAACACCTGAGGCTCTCACCTAGCACTTAATTTCAAGTGAATCACACATCTGCAGTATCAATTCTGTAGTAACTGGATATTGTTCTGTGTTTTTACTCAGCAAAGCATACAGTAAAATGAAGGAGAGGGATTAATCCTAGAACCTCATAACAGACAATAATGTAAAAAGCCAGTGTTAATTCTTGAAAAGAAGGTACAGATAAAGAGAGCAGTGCTAGGAAGGGACAGAAAGATGATGGTAAGAAAGAAGCCACAAACAGGGATAACTGAAAGTGTTAACAGACCTCTGGAACCCTGACCAACTTAAAGACCACACTGTGCTACAGTGTGTACAAATATGAACATACACTAATACAGAAGTAGAAATAATAGTAGCCAAAAGAAAGAATATTAGTTTTCCTTGTAAAATCTCAGAAATACCCATGCTGGCTGAAGCTTCATTAGTCACCCATTAAAATTGTCTGCTGGGTGAGCAGGGTGCTGAGAGCATGGTAACTTCAACATTGCATGGCACTGTTTTAGCTGAGAGCTATCATAAAAGGATACATACTGGCTATCTAACAACTCAGATTACAACATGTGGAGTATGAGCATATGATTTTGAGCCCATGCACTTCAGCAGGGCAAAATTGGTTAAGTCCCTGCACAGCTGAACTATATACAGTTAGTTCTCTTTTTTGATTGTCTTCAATAAATAGACTGCAGATTGATGATACAAATGATACATTAACCACAGGACAGTGTCACCTTTTGAGGAATGATGAATCAACTGGAGACTTTGCAAAAGGTTCATCTCTAAAGAAGGGAAGTAACATACACAATGTTGAAAAAATATTTGTTCAGCCCAGAACAAGGGATGTTTTCTCACATCATTCCAGGTTTGAATGTTCATCACCTGTCTCCAGTTCAACTTTAGCTCCCTCTTCGTGGATTGTACATCACTCATAGTATAACCAGCTGCAAGGCAAACAATGTCAAACCCTGGAGCCATTCCAACTGTCAGAGAGTGGGAAGGTTGGCTTCTACCATTACACTGACATCAGTGGGGTCTTTGCCCCCATATTCTAATTCAAATGTATATTGAATTGAATATACATATTGACTATGTATAGACATATATGAATAATTGACTATGCAATATAAAATGGAATATTTTAATTCAAAATATATGCCTTTTTCACAAAATAATACATCCTCACCTTTAGTCTAAGCAGTTTTTTACAGTTCCCTGGGAAGCCCGTACTAAAATCCTCAAACCCACCACATCCCCTAAAGAAATTATTTTAAAAAAACAATATACATCCAAAATCTTTCAAGTTCATTTATATTTTTTCATGTAAAAGATCAAAGAAATAATTAAAAAAAAAAACCCAAAACAGAATCAAACCCAGGATATAACAGTTTGATCTGATTGCCTCTAATACAATCTATTACAAGGTACTAAAAATTAAAAATAAATGCTCACACAAGTCATATAAAAAATTAAAAAAAGTAAATAAAACAGATAAAGAACTAACATGTACATGGATGTATGTATTAGGAAACAAGTTTATTTGGACAACCACCCACATCTTTCTGTAACTAAAATAGAGATTTAAATCCTTCCCTTCCCCCAAACAGTATTTGTTGACAAAAAGTCAAACCCAATCCCTCCCCAGATTACATTCTAACAGTATTACCAGAATACAAACTGTAATTAACCATGTCCCATTACTTCTGTATCATCAAGACTTACATATGCCCCCTCAGGGATAGTCACAGCAAAATTGTCCAGCTGGCACATTGGTTGTATTTATACTACAAATAGACAGTGTACAATTTAGTGCAGTAAATGCTCAAAACCTGAAATAGTACAGTGAAACATTGTCAACAATAAATTTATTTTCATATTACATATGCTTTGAATACTGAAAAGTTCTGCCATAAGTCTGTTTAAAGCCAGAAACTTTTTTTAAAGGTAACTTTGAAAAATAGATTTTATTGTCATTGCACTTCATTGGATACATTATCTCTGTAACAAAAATTAAAAGCTGACAGTGTAAAGAATCACTTTTAATTCAACCAAGATTTGTTTCATGACTGAATAAAGATCTAACCTATGATTCTGGCAGCTGTTTCAGCCTGAAGTGCTACTTCACACAGTACCTTCCTGTTTCAGAGCTGCTGCTGGTTTACTATGGAAGTAACACAGAAACACAGTTTATGATTGCTTTATCCTTTTAAGGTCTTTGCACCAAGACACTCAACCACCAGAAACACAAATAAAAAAGGAACTGAGCTTGCAGCTTCACAATTCTGATAAATACCTGCTGTGATTTCACTAGAAAGTTGCATTAGTTTTACCCACACCAAGAACAGCCTTTGGCTGACAACAATGCACGTGGCTGGGCAGGAATCAGCACCAGCTCTCTCACAGAGCTGCAAGCCAACCTGTCCAGAATATCTTCTGCTATGACAAACGTACGTGTTCAATGCGGCAGAGTTGGTAGCCAATGTACAAACTGCATTCTCTAAACACAACCTGTGGATAGGCACTCCCACCTGGATCACACCAGCACCCAGGTCCGCAGCTGCTGTGGCTCATTCCAGCACCAATGTCTGTCAGCTCCTTATGCCAAATGAGCAGTGCTGGTGACATGGCCTTGAAAGTTGGCCAGAAAATCTCCAATTCTTTACCAACATCAGTCATGGTACTAAAGGACAAAGCCTTAGGACCATCTGTTTTTCATTTAGGCTGACAACCTGAAGAAATTCTTAAAAGAAAGAGATTAAAACTAATTATAGTAATATTGGTCAGCCCTGCCTGGTCCCCTGTTTATTGAAAAGAAGTTTATGCCATCTGAACAGTTAGCAAAACTAGCAAGAATAAAAAAAATACCCAGCTAATAACCCCTCAAAAGAATAAAAGAAACACAATGCCCATTCAGCAATTAAATTCTATGCAGACACAACTCTGCTGTTACATCTCTTTTTCTATTAATAAAAAAAAAAAACCAAAAACATTTTTAGAAAGCTACTTTTTACTATGTCATCAAGCATCACAACTGTAGGTCTTTGCATAATATCTCTTTTTTCAAAATTTCAGTGTGTGTGCTTTTTATTTTCCATCCTGTGACACCATGTACACTTAGAAGTTCATCACAGACATGGTAATTTACTTTACTGAGTGCTTCTCTTCTGTTTTTCATTGAACACCGGAGATTCATTTGCTATGTATCCCTGTCTGCAGCCATCCTTCCCAGCAAGGATCGACATTTATTACCTCATCATTCGTTTTCCAAATCTACTCTGTATTCCCACCACTTCATCGCTGACCTTTTCACCTACCTTCACCCAACCAGATGGAAAAAAAGTCTTTAAGGGTCAATATTCCGATGCATCAGTAAGGTCTTGCTAAGTGTTATCAGACCTGGCAAACACACATTTACACTTAGTGCTACATCTCTTCTTCTCTTTACACAGCCTGGATTAAGCTTAGAGAAAAATTATAATGCCTTTCATAAAATTACCTATTCTTCAATAAAAAATGCTTAAATCCATTAATTATAAATAAGATAATTTCAAAACATTTAAGAATATTCAGGACTTCATTTGCACTTCAGGGGAACTGCAGGCTTAATGTTATTGATGTCTTCTCAGTCCCAAACCTCTGATAAGGAAGTTTTGTAGGATATATAACAGATAAAAAC